GGAATTGTACTTTTTATGTCATGCCTTTCTGCGGTGCTTGAACACTGACACAGTGCGCAGGTATTTTTTTTTTTAAGATTATTTATTTTTTATTTGACAGAGAGAGATCACAAGTAGGCAGAGAGGCAGGCAGAGAGAGAGAGAGGAGGAAGCAGGTTCCCCGCTGAGCAGAGAGCCCGATGCGATGCGGGGCTCAATCCCAGGACCCTGAGATCATGACCTAAGCCGAAGGCAGACGCACTGAGTCACTCAGGTGCCCCTCGCAGGTATTATTATTATTATTATTTAATTTTTTATTTTTTAAATTTCTTTTCAGTGTACCAGAATTCATTGTTTATGCACCACACCCAGTGCTCCATGCAATCCGTGTCCTCCATAATACCCACCACTGGGCTCACCCAACCTCCCACCCCCCGCCCCTTTAAAGCCCCCAGATTGTTTTTCAGAGTCCATAGTCCTTCATGGTTCACCTCCCCTTCCAATTTCCCCCAACTCCCTTCTCCTCTCCATCTCCCCATGTCCTCCCTGTTATTTCTTATGGTCCACAAATAAGCGAAACCATATGATAATTGACTCTCTCTGCTTGACTTGTTTCACTCAGCATAATCTCTTCCAGTCCCATCCACGTTGCTACAAAAGTTGGGTATTCATCCTTTCTGATGGAGGCATAATACTCCATAGTGTATATGGACCACATCTTCCTTATCCATTCGTCTGTTGAAGGGCATCTTGGTTCTTTCCACAGTTTGGCAACCATGGCCATTGCTGCTATGAACATTGGGGTAGAGATGGCCCTTCTTTTCACAACATCTCTATCTTTGGGGTAAATACCCAGTGGTGCAATTGCAGGGTCATAGGGAAGCTCTATTTTTAATTTCTTAAGGAATCTCCACGCTGTTTTCCAAAGTGGCTGCACCAATTTGCTTTTCCACCAACAGTGTAAGAGGGCTCCCATTTCTCCACATCCTCTCCAACACACGTTGTTTACTGTCTTGTTAGCAAGTATTATTTTTTTAAAGAATTACTCAAATGAACGGCCTGGATGTCAGTCCAAGAGGCTTGGGCTTAAATCTCTAAGACGACCGAGAATCCATATCCTTGGTCCCATCAACAATGTGGCCACTTGCTTTCTTGCATTTTCTGGCTGAGCAGGCCCTAGAATCTTCCTCTCCAAGGGGTCCTGGACAGATGCTTCTCAGCAACACCGCTCCCTCTTCCCCAGGTGGTGCTCCTTGCTGCCCTGGTAGAGCTTATTGACCTTCTTCTTCTTCTTCTTCTTCTTTTTTTTTTAAGATTTTATTTATTTATTTGACACAGAGAAAGAGAGAGAGGGAGAGAGAGCATGCGCACAAAGTGAGCACAAGCAGGGGAAGTAGCAGGAAGAAGGAGAGGGAGAAGAAGGCTCCCTGCAGAGCAGAAGTCTGATGCGGGACTCGATCCCAGAACTCCGGGATCATGACCAGAGCCAAATGCTTAACCAACAGAACCACCCATGTGCCCGAGCTTACTGACCTTCTACAATGCTGTCTTCCTGCTGCCTGGGGGACTGTGTGCCAGGCTTCCCATTTCCCAGCATTGCCCAGTGCTAAAAACTGCCTCTTCCCAGTCTCTCAAATTTCTCTAACACCTTTTCCCATCTAGTATTATATTTGCTCCTCCAACAACCCTGTGAGGCAATTAGGACAGGGGTCTTGCCACCCATTTTGTAGATGAGCAAACTGAGGTTCGGACAGGCAAACTAACTTGCCCAAAGTTTGCCCTAGAGGTAAGCCCCACTTCTGCTGCTGGGGCCTTTGTGACTAGTCAGAGCTGGACAGGCACTGGGGACTCAGGTCCTTTTCTATACGAGACGATGTAGAAATAGGGTAGGAATTAATTCATAGGGCAAGTATATTAGAGGTTTTCATTGGTGAATAGAAATGTTTCTTTTTCTTTGTCATCTCTGTTTGGAAGGGCACTACCTGGCTTCCTTTTCTTCCTGGAAGGGAATTCTGGTAACAGATCCCCCCCGCTGCACTGGAAGAGTTTCTCTCCCTCAGTATGGCCTGGGGTAGATGCTATAGCTAGCCACTCAGGTGGACATTCAGTTACGTAGGTTGCCAGTGTCCCCATCCACTCATTCATTTGTTTATTTATTTATTTACCTAACACAAATTTACTGAGCCCCTGCTACATTCTGAACACTGCGCCATGAAAACGTGTGAAACCTGATGTAGCCTGGAGGTGGGAAATAAGGCTTTTATGGTTTTATGGGAAATAGGGTTTTTGTGCCCTACAAAGTTAAGTCTGAGCTGATATCCCCAGGATGAATGGAGTTAACCAGGTGCTGGAGGGAGGAGGAGAATGAATCAGAGGGGAGGGACTCTGTGCAAAGGCAGTCCTTGGAAACTAGCGTGGGGCTGTCCTGGGTCTCTTTGGGGAGAAAACTGGTCTTCTAATTTCTCCAGGAACCAACTTCTTAACTCATTCGGGGTAGGTTCCTCAGCCCTGTGTAAGTCTCCTCAGGCTGATCCTGTTTGCTTTAAGTCTTTCAGACAACCATTAATTCAGCGGTTGAGCACTTAACTGTGTGCTTGGTGCTAGAGCTATGAAGGGAACAAATGGACAGAAATCACTGCTTTGGTGGGACTTTCATTCTATTGGAGGAGAACAAAAACAAACAAAATAAAATGTAAAATGTATAATACATTAGCAGGGAATAGATGCCAATAAAAAAGTTAAACAAGATATGGGAATAGGAAATATTAAGGAGTGTGTTAGATTGAATGGTTAAGGCAGGGTTCCCTGAGAAGATAACATCTGAATGAAACCCCGAAGGAGGTGAGGGAACAATGCAATTTGTGGGGAAAGAACTTGTATAGGCAGTGGGAACAACACATTCAAGGGCCCTGAGGTAGGACTGTGCCTGGTATGTTTGAGAAACTGCAAGGAGGCCAGTGTGGCTGGAGTGATGTAAGCAAGGGGAAAGGAGTAGAAAGTATGATCAGGGATATAATGGGGGCTGGGGTACAGATCCTGTAGGGCATTGTAGGCTGTGATAGCTGGGCTCCACTGGAATGTTCTGAGTCAAGGAGAGACATGATCTTACTCAGGTTATAACAGGAGCATCTTGGCTTTCCTTCAGGTTTTTCCCCCCTGCTTTGTTGAGACACAACTGACATGCAGCAATGTATGAGTTTAGCATGCACAACATAATGGTTTGATTCACATATAGTGTGAAATAATTACCACAGTAAGTTTACTTAGTAGCCATCATCTCATATAGATATAATAAAAAGGAAAAGCAAAAAAAGGAAAAGAAAAATCCTTCTGGTGAGAACTCTTGGGATCTACTCTCTTAATAACTTTCCTGTACATCACACAACAGTGTTGAATGTCAAGTTGTACCAGACAGCCCCCAGGGCTTGTTTATCTTACACCTAGAAGTTTGTCCCTTTCCACCACCTTTTCCAATTCCCTCTCCCCCATCCTCTGGTGACCACAAGTCTGATCTCTTTTTCTAGGAATGTTTTGTTTTTAGTTTTTAAGATTCCACACGGAAGTGAAGCCACAGAGTATTTATTTTTCTCTGCTTGTCAGTTTCTGACCACCTAAGTGCCCAAGCTGCTAGGAGGTATTTCATCTTCTACACCAGCGTCCTCCAACCCTGGCCGCCAAGCCGCGGTTTGGCTCTGGGTGGCAGCAGGCGCTGCATCCCTGGCCCCATCTGGGTGCACAGGGAGGACCACATGATCCAGGGGCGAGCCCTGGCATGGACGCAGGAGCCCAGACCCACAGCATTCCAGAGAGCCCAGACAGCTCCTGGCCATGCATTCCTGTTCTGGCAGTGTACTGGGAGAGGAGCAGAGAAAACGCTCTTCACCTCCCAGGCCAGGAAGGGAAAAGATATTAACTCCTTAGAAAGACCTCTGCTCACGTGTCCCTGGGGTGCCTGGAAGATGCCCTCCTTGGGACAGACAGGCTCTGCCTCACCCCTCCTCTCTCCTTACCGGCTAAGAGACCCAGGGAGGACCGCAGCCCTCAGAGTCCGTTTCTTCATCTGTAAATACTTGGTTGAGGATCCCACAGGGGTAAAGGGCATAGCAGGGTGCATGGCACCTTGGGCTCACTTGTACTTCTTGGGCAAGTCACTCTGAGCCTCCCTCTTTCCACCCCTGAGTGGACTGCCAACGCGTCCCCGGACTGCTGCGGACTACAGCAGCCTGAGCACGGCCTTTGCAGCCTGTGGAGCACCGCTGTGTCTTCGGGAGGGTGGCCCAAACACCGAGTGTCAGTGACTGGAGGCAGGGGTCAAACGCCCTCAGACCTTCTGAGAGGCCTGGGAGGCAGCGCCTTGAGCACTCACTTTCCCTGGGGGTAAGAACCGTGATTGCTCAGCAGAAAGACCGTGCCGGATTGCCTAAGACAAGTCCCCGACTTCCCCGGCTCTCAGCGGGAGACACAGCGGCAGGTGCACGGCTAGAGGTGGGAATGGAGGCAGACCTGGCCCGCGCGGCCCACGGCCCCCACCTGGACCTCCACTTTGGAACAATCTCAGGGCTCTGGGCGGGGCCGGAGGCCCGTCTCACGCTCTCACCTGGGGACCGACCTTCAGAAGCGGGTCCCAGGGACGCCGCGAGCCCACGGCCGTGGTGGGGGGAGGGAAAGCGGCTGGATACCTCGGGCCGCGCTGGGCGGGTGGCTCCTGCACCGGGTGCGCGCGGGCGGCTGCGGAGCCCCGCGAGCAGCGCAGCTGGGGCGGGGCTGGGGGCGGGGCTGGGCGCGTGACGCGCGGTGTAGGCCAATGGGGCGCGCGCCCGGGGCCGAGCCTCCTGCGAGCCTTCGCTGCGCCCGCGGCGTCACGTGAGCCGCGGGGAGTGAGCGCGGAGCTAGCGGCGGCGGGCCAGTGCTCCGCCGCAGCGACCCGCGGTCCAGCGGGCGAGCAAACCAAAGCAGGACCCGCGGCTGGGCCCGCGGCCGCCGCCGGACCGGGAGCCAGGCCGCCGCCCCCAGCCCAGTCCCCGGGGCCTCAGGACCGCCGGGGCCTGGCCGCTAGCCGGGCGTGCGCCAAGTTCAGGTGGGAAAAGCTTGGGGAGGCCGGACGGCCGCGTGGACGCGGCTCCGGGCGCCCACGGGGCTGGTTGGGGCACGCGTGGGGCAGTGGGAGCGCTGACTGGCCTCTGGTCGTGTGTCCGTGTCCGGGTGCCCCCGCCGCTGTCCCAAGCTCCGCCCGAGTGTCCGAGGAAATGTCGGAGGAGCGGGGTGAGCCCCTGTACTGGCCCGGGGATCGGACAAGCCCGTGGGAGAGTGACCCCAGTTGCCCATAGACACTTTACCCGCGCAGGTCCGGGACGCCGCCTCAGCGCCTGGTCCCGCGAGTCCTGCGCGCCTTGCGGGCCGGCCCTCCCATATGGCGGGCACCCGGCCGGGCCTGGCGAGAGGAGCGGACAGGCGGACACGCCGGCCGGTCGGGGGCCGGGAATGGGGGACGGAGTGGTCTGTGGCGGTGGGGTTACTGTCGGTCACCGCAGCCGTGGCCTCCGGGGGAGGGGGGTGCGGGCCGAGGGCATGGTGCCCGGCGGGCAGAGCTCCAGGGCTCACCGAGGGGTCTGAGCTGGTCCCCCACGTCTTCCTTTCCCACGCACCTTCCCACACCCGCGCGGGCACCCACGTCAGCACCACGCACGAGTATGTCGGGGACACCCTCTGGTACAGTCACACTGCTGCCGCGCACCACGCCCCGCACACGCACAATCACACGACACGAACTCACACCCCTTCGCTCACACCCGCACCCTTCACACGTCTTGTACTCCTACTACCCACTCGGAGTCCCTTGGTTCTTTCTACTGACCATGAGCAGATCGGTGGCCGGGGGTTGCGGGGGACGGAGGAGAGGCCGCCCCCACCCACCATGGCCGTCTGTTTCGGGTTCCCTCTTTCCTCCCCACTGTGGTATTCCCAAAGGACCACCCCCCCAACCCCCCTCCAGGACACAGAGGGGATGTTTTCTTGCCCAGTCCCTGGGGAGCTGACAAAAATCCCCAAATGCTTTAGTCCCTCAAATCACCTTTCCCCCAAGAACTAGGTGGCTCCCGGGAGCCCCCGCCGTCCTACAAGTGGGAGGACGCCTGGCCTCTGCGACTTTGGGGCCTGCGGATGGCGCAGGGAGCGAGACTCTTATTTTGAAGGGCGGCCCCCACCCGCCACCCCCGTGATTTGCACGCTGACCCAATGGCAAGCCCTTGGCCGGCGCTGGGCTTGTTATCAATTACATGTTGTTCCTGCAGCCGCTGTGTCCCCGGGAGGATAAACAGCAGGCCTGGCCGGGTTGGTGGTGGCGGGGGGGGGGGGGGGGGAACGGAGGGGTAGGGGGCGGAGTCCGGCTGTAGGTCGGGGACGGTGCCCGGAACAGTTTGTCCCCTCCCCCTGCATGCAGGCTGTGTTTCTGGCCCTGCCATGTGCTGCTGTATTTTAGCGCCCCAGCCGGCTCCCTCCAGCCCTGGCGGGCCCTTTTTCTACCGCCAGCACCCAGGGTAGCCCCAGGGCCCCTTCTCTGCTCTCAGTGCCTGAGTGTCCAGCCCAGGCTGCTCAGCCCTGCATTAAAACTCTTCTGCCTGACTCTGGCCATTCTATTCCTGGTGGAATCCCCACACCCCTATTGCCTGTCTGACTTCCTGAAGAACGTCGTCTCATTCACTCAGCAAATTGTGCTAGGTCCTGTTCTAGACTCTAAGATAGTGGTGGACTGGATAGTCAGAACAGCTTGTATTTTGTTGGGGAGGTAGAAGATAAAGTACACAAACATAACCACGATAGTTTCCTCCTGGTAGCAACTGCTAGAAGAATATAATGTGGGATAATTTGACAGAGGGTGGTCAGGAAAGCACTCTACCCCGCCACCCCAGACAGTGACTTCAGAGCTGAGATCTAAATAAGGCATTCCCACTGGGAGCACTGAGGGGAAGAGGGAACCACAGAGAGGGCACAGTCAGTGTGGAGTGGAGCAGGTGGATGTGAGGTCTGGGAGAGATGGGCAAGGCCCAGGTGCTGGGCTGCTGGGAGAGAAGGGGTCACATTTCCTGGAGAAGTTAATAGAAATTCTCTCCTACCCTACCCTACTATACTTACTTATTTCCCCCACTCTTTCTTTTTATACCATTTCATCTGTGAATATCTCAGTTACCAACTGTGATACTATCATCACACTTAAAAATATTAACAGTAATTCCTTACTATCATGTAATAATATTCAGTTGGTGATCACATTTCAGGGGAGAGTTTTAAGTGGGCAAGAACATGGCTTGATCTACCTCTTCCCACCAGTTAAGGCCTGGGTTCCAGGAAGGCTGGAGTCCCCTTGATTCCTTAGGCTCACAGCAGAGGGACAGAAAGAATATGTGTTCACCTATTTGGAGGTTAATCCTAGTGGCCGGTACTGACCCACACTTGCGTGTGGCACCCCCATTGTAAGTGTTCAGTTGTGTTAGCTCACTGAACTCTTTCAGCAACCCGGGAAGTAGGCACCACTGGCAGCCTCCCCACCCAACAGACCAAAACACAGACACAGATATGTTGTGCTACCTGCCTGAGTCTGCTCAGCTAAGTTGCAGAGGCAGCGCCTCCTGCTCATAGGGTAGGTTAAAGGGGTGGTAGCAGGACCTAGGGCCCAGTGTGGGCTCATTGCCCTTCACATTATCTGGCACTTTCATTCCTTCTTAGCATCTAATTCTGTGACTAGTGTGTATTTTGCAGTTCCCAGTTTTAAATCCTCAGATGAGTATTTAAAATCAAAGAGCCGGGGCGCCTGGGTGGCTCAGTGGGTTAAGCCGCTGCCTTCGGCTCAGGTCATGATCTCAGGGTCCTGGGATCAAGCCCCGCATCGGGCTCTCTGCTTGGCAGGGAGCCTGCTTCCTCCTCTCTCTCTGCCTGCCTCTCTGCCTGCTTGTGATCTCTGTCTGTCAAATAAATAAATAAAAAATCTTAAAAAAAAAAAAATCAAATCAAAGAGCCAAATGTCCTCCTGGTGAAACTGCCCTGAGGCGCAGACTTGCCAAGAGCATCTACCTTGCCTTAGTTTCCTGGAGCTCCATGAAGCTTCCTGGATTAGTGGGAAACCGAGATCATTGGAGCCTGGAACAGGTGGGGAAACTGAGATTTGGGGAATGCACAGCTGATGATGATCCTAGCTGGCCCTGAGAGGTCTCTGTCCCTGGCAAGGCTTGTTGACTTGTTGACTATTGGGTAGCACTGTATGCCAGGTCCAGGAGTAGTCCTCAAGACAGAGCATAGGGGTGGGTGCAGAGTGATGACAGGCAGCAGAGAATCTCTGGTTTCAGATATAGAAAGTTCCCTTTTACCAAACCTCACTGGTCACTGGGTGGGGACAAAGGTCCACATAGGTGGCCCAATTACAGCTGTACACTGTTGACTCTCCTTGGACACCGGACCTAGCATGGCCTTCAGAGGAGGCAGATGTCCCCTCTCTTCTCTGTTGATATTCTCTGAGCCCCTCCTGGGCACCAGCTGCCACGCTGGGAGCTGGGAACACAGTGGAGACCTAGCAGCCTAGCCTGCCCTCATGGAGTTCATTGTCTAGTGGGAAGACGGGAGTTAGCTGAGCCTTCCTGAGGTGGTGAGTGCACCATGGGGGGGGGGGTGGTACAGGCCACGGGCATTTTATCTCCCATCCCACTAGGCGGCTGTGAAGTCAAAATGGGGTAGTGGCCATGCAAGTGCTGGGACCTGGGTCCACTTTTGCGCTCTTGAGTTATCCCTGTGGGGCAGGGTCCTGTTCACCTAGTGGTAAAGCCTCAGTAAAATGCCTGGGTACAGCTGAGAGCATTTTGTTCTGTCCCTGCCTTTCCCATTTCACAGAGGAGGCAGGTGAGGCTAGAGGGATCTGAGAACGGGAGGGTGGACGAGCTGTCCCCCTTCAGATGGGGAAACAGACTGTGAGGACAGGGGCATATGGGTCTTTAATCTTTTTTCTCTTTTCCCCCACAAATTAGACTTACCTGATTAAAATACGGACTGCTAAATTAAGGTTCACTATCAGATAAAATAATTACTTAATAAGAGCATGGCCCATTTAATATTTGGGATATACTTGTGTTACAAGTTGCTTGTTTTTTAAAACCTGAACATCAGATTTAATTGGGTGGCCTCTAGTTTTATTTGCTCAATCTGGTAACCCTACTCAGGCCCCAACCACCCAGGGGTCAGAGGGCAAATGGCCAATCTCCTGCCCCTGCCAGTGACTCAACAAGAATGGAGCTGAGGTCAGGTGTCCTCAGAAATGCAGCCACTCCAGTTAGCTGGATGGGGTTCCCCAACCTTGGCCATTTCAGGGTACAGAGAGCCTTCTTGCGTACTTTCTCACTCACATGCATTCATGCTCAATCATTCACAGATACACGGGTGTTCTTTACCGAATTGTTCTGGAAACCCTGTTTGAAACCAAAAGTACCCTGGATTGTGCAATGGGCTTGGAGAGCGCTCTTTTGCAAACAGGTGGTGCAATTTCGGAAAACACTCTTGCAGATAGAGTTCTCCCACGGGATGGGATGGAGACAGGACCCAGGCATTTGGCAGTGGGAGCCTGTGGGCCAGCAGCGGAGTGGGGGCACAGGCCCACGAGGTGGCAGGTGAGCATGCCGTCCTCCTGACCAGGCCTCCTTTGTTCCTCTCTGCAGCTGCCAACGGCACGGCCAGGCCAGCATGGTGGACCACTTGCTGCCAGTGGACGAGACCTTCTCGTCACCGAAATGCCCAGTTGGTTATCTGGGTGACAGGCTGGCCAGTGGGCGGGCGTACCACAGGCTGCCCTCGCCCCTCTCGGAGGATGACAGCGACGCCTCCAGCCTCTGCTCCTGTGCCAGCCCAGACTCACAAGCCGTCTGCTCCTGCTACAGTGGTGGGCCGGGTGCTGAGGGCCAGGACAGCATCTTGGACTTCCTGCTGTCCCAGGCCACACTGGGCAGTGGTGGCAGTGGTGGCATTGGGGCCACCGGCGGTTCCATGGCCTGGGGGGCCTGGCGGAGGGCACCGACACCTGTGAAGGGGGAGCATTTCTGCTTCCCTGAATTTCCTGTGAGTGACCCTGATGATGTCCCAAGGCCCTTCCAGCCCACCCTGGAGGAGATTGAAGAGTTTCTGGAAGAGAACATGGAGCTGGGAGTCAAGGAGGCCCCAGAGAGCAACAGCAAGGACGTGGAGGCCTGTGACCAGCTCTCAGCTGGGCCACACAGGAGCCACCTCCATCCTGGGTCCAGTGGGAGAGAGCGCTGCACCCCGCCTCTGGGCAGTGCCAGTGTGGGCGGCAGCCAGAGCCCGGGTGCGGGGCCTGCATCTGATGGCCCTATCCCCGTGCTGCTACAGATCCAGCCTGTGCAGGTGAAGCAGGAGTCAGGCACGGAGCCCACCTCCCCTGGGCAGGCCCCGGAAAGCGTCAAGGTGGCCCAGCTCCTGGTCAATATCCAGGGTCAAACCTTCGCACTTGTGCCCCAGGTGGTGCCCTCCTCCAATGTGAACCTGTCATCCAAGTTCGTGCGAATCGCCCCTGTGCCCATTGCTGCCAAGCCCATTGGGTCGGGACCCCTGGGCCCTGGCCCCACCGGCCTACTCATGGGCCAGAAGTTCCCCAAGAATCCGGCAGCAGAACTCATCAAAATGCACAAATGTACTTTCCCCGGCTGCAGCAAGATGTACACCAAAAGCAGCCACCTCAAGGCCCACTTGCGCCGGCACACAGGCGAGAAGCCCTTTGCCTGCACCTGGCCGGGCTGCGGCTGGAGGTCAGTATGACAGGTGACAAGGCGGGCGCTGAGCACAGCGATGAATCTCTGCTCCCCTGGGTTTGCGGTCAAGGCCTGGTTCACCGTTAGATAAGGCTGATTAGGAAGGGGAGAGGGGGGCAGGCAGGGAATGGTGCCAGAGCTGGCATGGCTGCCCAGAGGTTTCCTCATCCCTAGTGATCACTAGAGCCTAAAAAAAACTGGTCTCCAGTTTCATAATGACCAAGTAAGGCTTGCTGCGGCTCATGCCCAGGGCTAGGAGCTGGGCCATGGCAGAAGGGCCCTCTCCTTAGTAACGAGGGCAGCTAAAAATGATGGAGTTAAGGGCTGTGTATCCAAGGGGGCTGTGGCCACGTGTGCACTGCTCCCTCTGGGCCTCACAGCACCCCTAGGGAAAGTACTACCCTGGCTGCCATCTTTCAGCTGAGCAAACAGGCTTAGACTGGCTAGGTAACTTGCCCAAGGCCACACCACTTTGTCAATGGGATTGGAGCCAGAAGGTCCTGTATCAGAGGAGTCACAACCTGGAAATGCTTCTGTTCCAACCAGAGGGACCAGCTTCACTTGCAGATGTTCTTGGACTCACGGGCTGGGCTTGGTCCTTTCTCCCCTGTGGGTACTTGAAGGTGTATTTGGGAATCTTCAAAGGACATCCAGGCAGGGGGTGCTGAGTGAAGATGGAAAAGTCCTTGTAGACTCCATTCTGTGTGGTACAGCAGGGGAAACCAGCTCTCAAAGGACAAGGGGTCTTGCTCAGGGCTATGCAGGCAGCGGGTGGCAGAGCTGGTGGGCCCCTGGGTGGGCTTGGGTACCTTGTCCTGAAAAGCAGGTAGCCGGGAGCTCCCATGGCCAGGGGTACCATGAAGACTGGCTGTCCCAAGTCTTCAGCACACTGACCCCGTAGGAATGTGGCCCCCAAGGAGGGCGGCCTGTGCTCCCACATTCGTGCACTGCTGCCGTGGCTGCTGCTTTGTAGATGTGTGCGAGAGAGCGACGAGGTATGCTCATCTGTCTGTGTGCAGATCTCGCAGCAGGCGGGCAGCTGTGCGTGTGCATATGTGTACACGTCTTGCTTTCATAGTGTGTGTCTTGGTGTGTTGCATAACTCCCCATATTTGTGTACCCTGTTCGCGTGTGTGCATCTGTGTGGGTGTGACCGATGGGGAGCCGTTAGCAGCTTCTGTTTTCTTGACCTGACTCATCTGAGAGCGCTGGAGAGTTGGCCCCAGGTGGGAGGTGCTGGCCCTAGAGTCCTGGCTGGCTGTGGTGTGGTGGGATCGGTGACTGGAAGATCCAATGTGAAGCTGCTGCCTCTTTCCGTGGAGTGCTGGGCTGGCCTGGGAAGGGACTTCTCCCAAACAGCATCTGGGGTTATGGAGGTCTTTCCTGATGAAGGGTGTCACCCAGCCACTGACCCCACAAAGGCACCCATCAGACAGGCCCACATGGCTTCTGCAAGAGTGGGCACAGTGTTGACACCAGGGTGGCGGTGCCTGGTGTCCCATCCCTCCTGGGCCTCCTGGCACAGTCTGCAGGTGGGCCCTGGGGAGACAGGTGCACCTGTGGGGCCACTTGTGAGGCCTGACACACAGGTGGGTATGCAGTGTTGCTGGTCGGAGCTTGGGGGTTGGAGGAGAAGCCGAGACACTGGGGTGGTAGAGGCAGGCACTCAACTGTAGAAGGGAGGGGCATTGTGACACCCTGGATAGGGAGTAGCTGGCGGTAACCGTGGGGAGCCTCAGCCTAGGTCAGCCTCCAATTCGCCATGTGCCTCCGGGGAGGTCCCCCTGGCCAAGCCTCAGTTTTCCTCATCTGTGAAGTGGAGGGCCTGCTCCCTACCAGGGTCAGGGGTGCAGGAACACTCAGCACTACCCCCTTCTCATTGGTGGTCCTGTTACTCAGAAAGGGCAGAGTCTGAGAAGGGTGCTATTTTGGAGGTACCCCAGACTCCCAGGGACTCCTCTTGGATGCATATTTTCTTGGTGGGGGGCAGGGCTGTGGAGGGGTTGGGCATCTGGCTGGCCAGAGCACTGGTCCGACTCATGATGGGCTTACGTTCCTGGGCACTGTCCCCTGGCCACTGCTGATTCTTGGCAAGTGGCCCCTCCAGTCAGGTAGCACCACGAGGCAAAAGGGTGTGGTCCTTGGTGAAGGTTGCCGGCTTGTCCCATTCCCCTAGGAGGAGGGGACCTGTCACCTTCTGGGCTGTCCCAGAGAGCAGATGGAACCCTCAGCCCAGAATGCATCTTACAGAGGCAGGTCTCAGCTCCAACACAGTATCCTCTGGAGGTGGTAAGTTTCCCATGGTAGCAGGTGTGCAAGCAAGTGGGAGTGGGATTTGTGGAGGGGATTCAGCTTTGCCACTGTGTGGGCCTTGGCACTGGTCTCCTTGCCCAGGACCCTCTTGCAGGGGTAGGCTGCTGTGTGCCTGGCATAGCAAGGTCCCTTGAAGCTGACCGTGGAGCCATCCCTGGCTCCAACCACTCCTGGACCTTCAGAGGGCCTCTCCAGCTTCTCCCAAGCTTCCCCTGGAATAGTGTCAGGCCTTTGTGGAGTTATAGGTGACAGAGGCACAGGGAGCTGAAGTTGCCTGCCTTTTGGGAGAGCTATTTCTCTGAGAATGCAAGAGTCCCTGGTTGGCCTTCAGGAATCCTGAGCCCCTGGAGATGCACACAAGATGCACATGTCCCTTGTATATGGAGGGAGCCCTCTCAGTATTTGGGCAGGAAGACAGACTGGCTTTGGGGCAGCTTGGTCTGGACTGGACAGCAGTGGTAGCGATGATGACAGTTACGCGCCTTATTTTCTGACCACTTACTCTATGCTGGGCACTGCTCCAAGTTCTCAGAGCAAGAATACCTTCCACAGATCTCCACCCTTGCTTGTATACTTCCTGCCACAAGGAACTCATTACCTTATGAGGCTATTCTGGCCTTTTCATGTGCTTTGGTAAACTTAGATTCCTATCCAAACTTCTCATTCTGGCACGATCTGCTTACCGACCTCCCTTCCACAATGCAGGCTCCCACTCAGGCCCCTGCCCTCTGTGCACCCTCTGTGCATCCTCTGTGCATCCTCTCTGTGCCCTCTGTCTCCAGCACTTTCCTCCTGATGGCAATGGTAGTTGGTCTTGCAATGGTCCCTGCTTTGTTCTGCACATGTCACATTAGATAAGCTCGTTGCGCCCTTACAACAGCTCTGTGATGTGGAGGCACCAATCTGTATTTCCCAGAGAGCCCACAGGGATGGAGCTCGTGGGCATGGCTCTGGCTGTGCCCTCAGGTGGGCACCTCGGTCCCACCTGACCCACCAGCAGTCTGGTGAACATATGTTTCTCACCTGGGAACTCAATGCCTGCCGCTACACAGCTGGCCTTTCCCTTGTCCTCAATCCCTTGTGCCTGGTACCAGAATGGCTGAGTGTTCTCTCTCTCCCACAAGGCCGTGAGCTCTTTCGGGTGTCATGCCTCTGGGCTAGGGGGAAAGAGCCAACAACAATGGCAATAACAGTAGCTCCTAATGCATGTTCTGAGTGTTCCAGAGTAACTTATTTAATGCTCCAAGCAAGTCCACGAGGTGGGCATCCGGATGCTGTCCCCATCTGTAGAGGAGGCATTTGAGGGACAGAACAGTTAAGTAAGGTCTCCTTGGTCACACAGCTAGTGGGTAGCACAGTCTGGAGTTCAACCCAGGCTGTTTGCTCCCCAACCTCCTCCACCCAGACTCAGGACCTCTCTCTAGCCCCCTGGGCAAACCTTCTATGGGAGGTGGCCTGCTTGAGTGGTGGGAAGAAGGACCTCCATCTGCAGCTGGGCTTTGGGCAGCCCCCTGAATACTTGCCGGCCTTCTCATATGGGGAGCTTACCACACCCAAGGCTGCCTCTCTTTCTGGTGGCCCTGTGAGCAGTTTGCTCTTTATCCTGCTGGGCTGGTTCTGGCCCTGGCACTGTGTCCTGCGCCCCTTTGTGAAATGAATGGTGTCCTCCCCTTCCCCCAACCCAGGTCATCATTTGCCAGGTAACCAGCCCCCACTTCCTTTTGCTTTTAGTCCTGAACCCAGTATTCCTTGTCCCCTCCTCTCTTGGGACATGGTTCTGGCATTCTTGATGGGGCCCAAACCAGACTTTTCCTATCGCGATCTAACTGTCTGGGAAGTGGCTGTTTGTCTGCCTTCCTAGAAGTTTCCTTGCTACGCTCTCGGACACAGGCCCCCTTTGTTCACGGCAGCAGAACATCCTGTTCCGGAAAGGCAAAACCATTCCATCCAGAAAGAATACCCTCCTTCCACAGCTAATATGAATATTAATAACTTCTAGCAGCCCTCTGTGGCAGGTACTGTGGTCATCCCCAGTGGACATGGGAGGCCCAGAGAAGGGTAGTTGCGGGCCTGAGGCCCCAGAGCTGGAATGTGGCAGGGATAGGATTCAGACCCAGTGGTACGCTGCTGGCCTCCTCTCTTAGCCCCTGTGTCACTGCTGCTCCTGTTCAACAAGGCATTTTCTAAGTTCTGCCTGCACTTGGCAGAGCGCCCAAGTGTTCTTGGCCAGATTGTGCACGGTACCACTCCATGGAGCACCATTCCCATTACAGTCCTTGAGACCTGGCTGTTGACCGTCGTGACTTACTGGCTGATGGAAAGGGTGCTTTGCACAAAGGTGCAGTGTGTGCCAGTTGTGGGGCTGTCGTGATGGGCTGCTTCCCTTTCCTGCACCTCGGCCACATGAATCGTGGTGCTGACCCATGTGCCCCTAGACATCAACAGGGACCAGGCACGGCGCTGAGCTCCTTGCAGGTAATCATTGAATGATTGCCATGTGGTGAGCACTGTTCTAAACACTCAATGCCTTTTACAATCCTCAGAGTCCTGTGAGGCAGAATTGTTATTTCCCTGTCTCCAGGTGGGGAAACTGGGCCTCAGAGAGCTTGGTGACTTGCCCAGGCCCTGATCAGTGGCTGAGCTCACTGCCTGCAAGGCCTGCATCTTACCCACATGGCCTCCCTCCCACTGTGTCGCCTTCAGTGTCCTCCAGTGGCTGCTGTCTGGGAGAATGCATGTGAGGGTGTGAGGTAGGGATCTTCTGAGGGCGCACTTCTCAGGTCTGTGACTTCTCAGGTCACAGGATGCTGAGGCAGCAGGGAAGAGGTTTGGAGGTAGGGACAACTTGTTCTCAGTCCTGGTTCTCCCACAGTGTCCGCGTGGTCAGAGGGCCACTGTGGTCTTTGTGTCAGCTCCTTTGGCCTCTGAGATGAGTCCCAGAAGGTGGGCCAGAATCCTGAGGTCTTCACTGGATGAGTGAGGAAACAGGCCCAAAATGGTTCCTGAGCTTGCTCAGGACTGCACAGGGCTCCCGGTGGGATAGGGACCTGAAAGAATCCAACCATGTCGCTGGCTCTGTGACACTGGCAAGCCTCTTGTCCTTTTTGAGCCCTTGCTGTGGTATTGTCTGTTCTCTGGTACTGATCCTGTCTCCCTCGCCAGAAAGGGGCAAGATAACCCAGTGCCTGGTGCCCAGGAAGGCTCAGCAAAAGCTATTGCTGGTGGCATCATTTCTGTGGCTTCCTGCCTGCCTGTGTTCTGGGCAGGCCCACCCGTTCAGAAGCTGTGTGTTCAACTCCGGCTGGGGGCAGTGGCCTGGCCTGGGAGCAGGCTCCAGACTCTGACCTCCAGCGTGCACTGATGCCACTTCCTCATTGGCTCAGGGCTCCAGAGACACACACTGCCTAGCCAGGCAATGTGGAGGAGGCCAGGCACTCTGTAGTCACCAGGGTGAACAGGGCATGGGAGAGAGCCATGCCAGGACCTTTGCTCTGGCCTTGGCTGCTCTGTCGTGATAGGGATGCTGGATCAGGCCCTCATCACTCTGAGCCTCAATTTCCTCATCTGGCAGATAGGCCAGTCAAGCTTCCATTATTCCAAACATATGCTGAGAGCATTGCTCTGTGCCAGCCTAAGTTGGTGCCCTGGGAAGTGAAGTGGAGTGCCTGACTCCAAGTGCAGACCCCTGGCTGTTCTCTCAGGACCAGGTCCTAGGCTCCAGAGGTAGCTGAACTGGGCTGAGCTGCCTGTCCTCTGGGCTCCCGGGCAGGCTCCCTGTCCAGTGCTCAGGCCTTCCTACTCCCCAGCTGAACCTTCCCCAAGGCATGTTCCTTCTAGTCCTCGGTAGACTGTGGGATTACGGAAGGCCTCCACCCACAGGGGTGGACCTGGTACTTGTGTGTGTGCACACATGTGTTTTTGTATGTACACACACACACCCACGTGTGAGGTGACTGTATGCATGTGCACATATGTAGAGTGGACACGTGTGTGCAGTGCATCCATGTTTGTGGCATGCCTGTGTGTGGCATGTATAAAGGGGTGTGTACATGTGCATTTCATGGTGTGCACGTGTGTGTGTGCGTGTGTGTGTGTGCAGGCAATAGTACTTGAGAAGAATTCCTTGTGACAGCCCTCCATCCTCAATGGGTGCTTGCTGTGTCAATTGTTTCATGTAAATGCACTTACGGGCACCTGCCATGTGCCAGGCCCTGGGCTGCTTGTGGGATGGACCACAGGGAAGAAGACACACATGTCTTTCCTCATGGAACTGATGGTCTAATGGCACAGACTGACATTCACCAAAAAGTTGAAAATGAATTTAAAGTTAAAGTGAGGTGCATTTAGTGCCATGGGAGCCTAGAATGGGATACAGTCCTGGAGGGCTTTCTTGAGGCAGTGACATTTGAGTGATGGAAGAGAGGGAGCAAGAAGAGGGGAGGGAATCCCATTTCAGATGGAAGGAACGGTATGTGCAAATGTCCTGTGGCAAGAGAGACCAAGGATGGGTCAATGTGGGTAGAGCACAGAGGAAGACAAGTATGTATGTGTGGGGAGTGGGATCTTATTGTCAAGATGAGGGTTATGGGGTGGGGGTGGAGGGGCTTCAAATCCCAGAAGTCAGTGACAGCGGTCTCAGCCTTGTGGCCCAGCTGGGATCCTTACCTCTTCCATTAGTAGCTGCTCATTCTCAGTGGCCTCTGGGCTTTGGGAGCATTTGCTCCCAGGCAGGCTGAGGCCAAAAGAGGGAGGTGGCAGGTGAACCATTTAAACTCTCAGAAGTATCTTGCAGTGGTGTGGTTTTGTCTGGTGACAGCTTAGGGGACCCAGACTTCAGGAAAGCCGTGACCAGGAGCGGGGCAGGAATGTGAGTCTGCATACAGTTTATGTATGGCTGTAGTGAAGGCAAGGGAGAGGAGCCAGGGGCTCTCTACAGTGCTGGCGAAAGAGACACCTCTCTCAGGCTTCCGTTTCCCCTGTGGATGGGCTTCCTCATGCAGACCTTCCTAGAGCCCTAAGTTCTGCCTGGGGGGCAGCTTCTCAACAGCTAGCAGGGTGCTGTGGAGAGTAAATCCTGGGCTCTGGTGGGCTTAACAGCCCCTCAGAATATTTACCAGCTGCTCGCAGGCCCAGATGCCCAAGAACGGACTGCTGTGCGGCCACTGAGCCTTTTATTGACAGCTCTTCCCATCCTGGGGTGGGGGTGGGAGCAGGCTGGGGACAGCGACTTTTCACCAGGGGATTCAGAAGTAACTCAAAACCTGGAGAAGTGTTGGCCCCGCCTACCTGGCGGGCCCCGCCTGCCTGGCCAGGTAGAGCCCTGCACCTGCGGCTGCCTTCTGGGTGGGCTCCTGGCGGGACGGGCCTCCCTCACCGTGGCCCCTGAATGTCCCGCAGGTTCTCCCGCTCCGATGAGCTGTCGCGGCACCGGCGCTCGCACTCGGGGGTGAAGCCCTACCAGTGTCCTGTGTGCGAGAAGAAGTTCGCACGGAGCGACCACCTCTCCAAGCACATCAAGGTGCACCGCTTTCCTCGGAGCAGCCGCTCAGTGCGCGCGGTGAACTGAGCGCCCGCCTGCCCCCGCCCCCACCCCCGCCTCGTTATTTTGTAGCAATAATTTATTTGCCTCTTCAGAGGGACGTGACAATGTTGCCAACCCACCTTCTGAAGCCCAGGAGGTGCAGGAAGATAGGGGCTTGCCTGAGAGGCGGGAACCCAGAGCCCCCAGCCCGCTGCCTTTCCTAGGAAGACCTAGAGCCGCGCCCACGTACCTGGGGGCTGGCACCCCGTCCCCGCACCCCCCGCACCGGGCTGCAGGCCGGCCTTCCCGCCTTTGTGCCTTTGTGCCTTCCCGCGGGCCGGCCTTTGCTAAGGCAGCGCTGGGATCCTGGACCTTCTCCCACTGGGCTCCCTGCCTGGGCCAGGGCTGGCACTTTTTTGCTCAGAAGAAATGTGCAGTTTTGAAATGTCAGTTCCCAGAGGGAGCCATGCTGGGAAGAAGGAAGTAGGCCAGAAGTCCAGGGCTGCACCGTGCTGTGAGGGTGGCTTTGTCCAAGATCTCCTGCTCAGCCTGACTACGGGAGGGTAGGAGCTGGGCAGGCCATGGCGCATCACCAGGCCCCTGGGCAGAGGTGGAATTAGGCTGAGTTGCCCCCTCTGTGGGGGTCTGGGAACGCATGCGCTTGAGTTAAAGGGTCCGGCAGACAGACAGATGCCGGCTAGCCCCAGAGCATCTGTACCCAGCATGGCTCATCCCCTCATCCCATTTCCAGACAGATCCAGACACCAGCCTCCATGGTCCCTTGGGGAAGAGAGGGGAGCAGGCTGCATTGCGTGTAGGAGAACTAGGTAGAGCCTCCGAATCCTGATTTAGAAATGCATTCCTTATTTTGTCTAGAATTAATATCAAATGAACTAGCTTGTTTTGACAGGTTTATTTCACATCCTATGAATGTATGTAAATAAGCTGTACATAGGTACATCTACATAAAATATCTTTTAATAACATATCAACATTGGTGTAAATTTGAAATTAAAAAATCTATAAAGCTGGTGTACATATGTTACAATTATGTATATTTTCTTTGGTCCTTCATAAAAATATATTTACTTTGCCAATAAAAAGAAAAAAGAACTCAGTGACTTTATGGCATTCATGTGCTATTTTCCGGTGCTTTGCCAGGAAATGGGGGTGATTCTGAGGGCTGAGTCTCTGTGTCTGTGTTCGCAGCATTTAGCGGACCTTGATTTGTACCCAGGAGGACATGAAGACCCCTTTGGGGTTCAGCGTGAGGTGCAGCCCATACAGGCTTCTCAAATCGACCTCACCTCCATGCCAGCTGCTGGGTTTCTGTTCACCGCAGTTTGCTGGAGGGCACCTTCTCCTCTCTCCACAAACCCAAATCCAGCCCCCATCCCAGTGTCACCTACAGGAGGCTGGCATAGGCTAGGACAGACCCACAATAATCAGTGCTACTCTGACATACTGTTGCAGACCCTCACTCAGTGCTCCCCGAGCAGGCTTCAGGCATCTACTATGCACCCACTGTATGCATGGAGTGCCGAGGAGACTCCCTTTAGGAGATGGCATGTTATTCTCACCTGCCCGAGACATTGTAAGTGGACTGAGTGCTGACTGGTAGAGAGGAGCCTTGGAGGGGGCAGTATAAGCGATGAGGCCACCTCCTCCACCCATCCGAGCTACTCTGAGTTCTGGGGAGACAAGTCCTCCCGAACTCCTCCAGATTTTTGGGATCTCCACCATGTGCTTGCACAGTTGAAGTCTGAATGCTTCCACCTGTCCCGGGTGGGTTGGAAGCTGGGGACAGTGGGAGCTGGAGAATAAGGAGAGGCCTTGAGCTGGCAAAGGGATTCATCTGGGTGGCTGAAGTTGGGGAGGGCAGGCTGGGCTTGGTGGATGCTGTGACAAGGCTGCCCCAAGTTTCCTGTCCACATGAAGTGAGAAGCAAGGACCTTCTAGAGGTGATCCTTTCCCCAGAAGCCCAGTGCAAGCACGGCAAGTCTTTTTTAGTGACACCTTTGGAGATGGCGGCAGGTGGTGATGCACCCATGGATTTCCAGCAGAGGGATGTTGGAGCAAAGTATATGTGCACATGCCTGTGTCGTTATCTACCTCTGAAGGTGGAAGCCATTGTTCCTGCTGATCAGAGCTATCTGCCACTGTCATCTTTCCTGTCTGATGGGAGCTGGCAGACATGAAGCTTTCATGTGTGTCCAGCACTACAGCATGGATGATTGGAGAATGGACACTCCATCCTGACCTGGTCCTGGGGAAAGGACTTGGCCTTGTGACCTCTGCCCTTTGCCCCTGACCAGACTTACTCTTTGTGGTCAAACACGCTCTGGGGGAATGAGGCATTGATTTCCAGGTACATTGATGTGGGCTTTCTTTATCCACAAACAAGCAATGCAGCCTGGATAAGAGGAACAGTGGAGGTCAAGATGGCCATACAGATGGAATGAGTCGGTGAACCCCTGCGTCTTTGATGCCAGGCACTGACCCAGGATGCTGCTCACCTCATCTCAGTGTGTGTCCCCCAAAGCCCACTGCACTGAGCTTGCAGTCCTCTGGCTGACCTCTCCCAGCCAAGGTGAGGCTGACCATGTGTGCAGTGTGGTCTAGCCCTCACCCTCAGCCTGGACTCATCATCTGGATGGGCAGCACAGCCCAGGTCCCTGCTTTCAGGAGGGGTCAGCTGAGAGAGGGCTGGCAGGGGCAGCAAAGCAGAGGGAGTGTAGCCTGAAGACCACTGCCTCTGGATCCTCCCTCCACTTTGGGCAGGTTTATTAAACCTTTCCGAGTTCAGCTTCTTCACCCTGTAGGCTGGACTTGACAGTTCCCAGGTTGCAACATGGCTGGTGAACAGTGAGTGGGAGAGCGAGTGTCACTGAACAACAGCAAAGACCTTTTCGAGGGTGGGAGCCTCCTCTACTCAGATGGAGAAGCTGGGGGAGGCAGGGCCTCTGTTCTCTGCTATGGCCTGTGTCTATGCAAGTGCCACTGTGGTGGGACCTGTGGGGATGCTGAGAGCTCTGTTGAGACTTGTCTCTTACCTCTGAGATACCTCCATGCCACCACCTTTGTCATGCTTTGTGACTTCTATGACTGGAAGAGTAGTGTTTGTCACAGCCTGTGAGCCAAGAAAGCAGATGAAGACACTGGCCAGTGTGCCCTGTTTGTAATCGAGAGGAATCTGGACGGTTGCAGAGCAGAAATCTAGCCTTAACAACCTCCTGGGACCCTGCCTTGCATAATACCCCTTCCCCAAGGTACACAGTGGGGAAGAAAGTATCATTTATTGAGCACTGTACCAAGCAGAGTATGGGTTAGCTTACTATAACAAAGAGTCCCCCGCCCCCAAACACTGTGGCTTACACAGGTAGAAATTAATTATCTCTATTGGAATGATCTGGAAGTAAGCAGTCTCAGCTCATAGGTGGCTAGGGTGGGACAGCCAGGCTCCTTCTCTCCTGTTGCCCTCCATACCCTAAGTGCTGGTCCAAGACGGCTCACCAGGGTATCAGGTGAGCCCACAGAAAGCAGGCATGGAGCTGCGTGTTCCCTCTCTCTGGGAGGGCATGGGCTGGGATTTGTACAGTTCAGTCCCCTTGTGTGTCTTTGGCCAGAACCTAGTCACATGGCCTCATCCACCAAAAGGAAAGCTGGAAAATGTGGTCTTGATCTGAGAGATCGTGCGCACAACTAAAACACGGGGATTCCACTATGGGAGAATGAAGGGGAGCTTGGGATCTGTCTTTCCACTGAAAGCACATCCACCACACCTGGCAGCCTGCCCACCGTGGGCCTTCCTGCATTCCTGGCAGAGCAGCACCTGTGTAGCATGGTGAAAGCATGGGGGGCCTGGTGGGTCTGCTGACCCATGGCCTCATCCACATTCTCAGAGTGAGTCTCACTGACAGGTGGGGGACCAATAGTCAGGCTTTAGGGTACAGTAGGGAGTCACGAAGGCAAACCGTGGGAAAGAAGAGCTAAGATGCTTTGGTTGACAAATCAAGGCTGCAAATGGCAGAATCCTGACTCAAATGGACTAAAGTAAACAAAACAAAACCTCATAATGTTATTGCCTACTCCTGGGTAGGGTCCAGAATCCATACCAGTGCTCTCAGGGCTGAGGAACAGAAGCAGAAAGACCCCAGGTCCAGGCTTCTAGGGAATTGTAGTTTTCCTTGTGCTCTGCACATTCAGAGTACCCAAGGCCCCAGGCAGTGGGTTCAGGGGAGGTGCTGCTGGGAAAGGGTGTGTTAGTCTGGACAGCAGCTGCTGTGACTAGGGGCTTTGAATGTCACATGAGGGGACCAAGAGGGAGGGAGTCTGTCCTCTGTGTGACAAACACAAAGTCTAAATGGAAAAGATGTCAGATGGAAGGGAGCAGCATTCAGAAGACTCAAAGAAAGGACACACCTCCACCATCCACTGCAGGACCCAGAAAGGCATCTCTGGAAATTTCCTGTTACCATCCATCTCCTGCAAAGCCACAGAGAGAACTCAGGGTGGAACAGAAAAGCAACAGGACAGGGTGCAGAGAGAGATGGAAAGGATGAAGGAAAATCACAAGGAAACAAAGATGATAACGTCAGATTTAAAGCCTGCCTTGGTACAGCAAGTGGGGCAGGCAAACTCCATAGATCTTCAGAACAAGTGGGGAAGGAAGGATGGAAATGAGATACATAGGTATGGAAGGCAGAGAACACACCACCAACAGCTGGATGCTGAGGAGTCTGGATCAGATTCCAGAAAAAGAACATATATACTAACACATAGCACATATAATGTACTAATATATAGTACACTATTACATAACATAATCACTAATATTTAACATATATAACATGCTAACACGTAATACACTGATACATATGTAGATAACATACTAATATATAACAACACATAATATACTAATAAATAACCCAAAACATAGAAATAAATGTGCACATACAACATACACTAATATATGACATATATACTAATATAATATAGTATATAATTCTGACTACGTATACATATAAGTGGCGGACTGGGAAAAT